TGGAGTCAATAATTGTGTTTTCTTCTGAAAAAATGAATCCTGAAATGATAAATTGCAAAGTATCTTATGCTAAATTTTACAATAGCCATAGAGCTAATTTTAAAAAATTATTACATATTTGGCAACTAAATACAATGTTTTACTTGGTAATTGCTAAAGAAACATGAGGCACATACCACAGCACTAATATTTGGGTTGTGTAGAGTCTTAAGCCATGGGTAGGTATTGTGCTTGAGACAAGTTCAGCTAAGCACTGACGTCTGATCACAAAATTTATAGCTGACATTAATGTATATTACAGATACTAAGAACAGTGCTGTACTTCAACTTGGTAAGTAAATATTGGTAGCCAAAGATTTGGTATAAATGCACGCTATTTCATGCTACAATTTCTGCTATGCCCAAGGTTTTTAAATCTAGGAATAATTTCCTCAAGACACTGAGAACTTTTATGAACTTTTAGTATGAAATTTTATGAAATTTATGAACTATTTAGTATAATTTATGCAATAGTTATGCACAGTTTTCCATCCAAAGAAAAAGAAATAATTAACTGCTATTTGCATTATCAAATTTACAATGCATCTTTCTTTACAGTCATTTTCAACACTAAGAATGCTCTTTGAAATCATAGAATGATTTGAGTTGGAAGGGAGCTCAAAATGAGCGAGAGAGTCTCCTGGTCCAGAGAAAAAACCTCCGACCTGAGAGAGTTGCCCTCCGAATTGAGAAAGACTCCCTGCAGTCCAAACTCGACAATCTTCAATCTCAACAACACACCCTCCAATCTGAGCTAGATACCATCATAATGGAACGAGACAGGCTCCAAACTGAGCCGGAGGAGGAGAGCATTGGAACTGACCAACCTGATCAACCACAGGAGGCACCACAATTGATGTCCCTAACCCCCTCCAGAAATCTATTAGATATATTGCTGGTTTCCAAAACCGCCTCCAGCAAGTTTCATCCTTTATTAGAGACACCTCTCTCCCTCTGCTTGCTCTGTTTTCCCACTCGCTCATTATCAGACATCTCTGCTCTACAAGTGCAAGGAGCACAAGTACCAATTTTGTCAGTACCAATGTTGATCAGAGACATGCAGCAGTCAGATAATGACTTTGGCCTTAAGACTTACCATCCACATACATCCACTACCATATATTCCCCAGACAAGAGCTACACGCTACAGCTTTCTTGTTATCTTGTGGATCTGTCAAGCACCACCTTGGAAATAGGTCTAGGCCCTCACATACATAATGCTTTCAGTCCTCCATACACATCTACGCTTCTGAACGTACATAGCAGTATTCATAGATCAAGCCACTGGAATCACCAGAAGCAGTGGGTGAGGCTATTTCTTGTGTAATTCTATCGACTGGGAAAATAAAATCTGCATTATTTTGATCATTAAGACCTAACATTCTTTCTCTTCCTATTGTCCACACACACAGAATGTAACTTGGCTGTGTACAGGGTTAGAAAATGAGGATGTCGTGCACTATAAGTAATACTTCACACTGCACAGACTTCCAAATTACTGATCTGAAAAACAGCGTACGTACATTTTTAATAACAGCACAACTGCTGACAATAAAGCACAGAAGACTGGTTTGTAAAGATTGTTCTCTGCTAGGTGACCAAGGAGAATTAAAAGGGGTGGAGATGCTCACTTGCCTATTGATTGCATAACCTATAAAATGTATTCCACCATATAAGTTCTGGAGAGCTATAAGAGACAGCTGTTGGAAGAAAAATTGAAGAGTGTTCCCTTCTTGTTGGCAGCACACATTAAAAAACAAGATCTTGAAGAGCTGATAAAAGAAGCACCGCTTTCTTCAACTGATGGCATGAACTGTGGAAACAGTGTTCCTTGACTCAGCTATTCAAACTCATGTACAGTCTCTGAATATGAGGGACTTACGAGTGACACGCCATTCAAGTTGCAAAAATAATGGAGTTGATATTGTGTGAGAATCCTTCTTTGTTTTTTTTGGCTCCAAGCTTGCTTCCTTAGGTGTTTTGTTGAGGAGGCAAGTGATGGATGTTGTGTGGCAATCAACATCGCTGTGTGGACAATTTTACATCTTTGGAGCTGTTTGCCTTCGGAAGACAGTGCTCAGGACTGTTTACTGGCAAAAGATCTGGCCGGTTACCAAATAACTCCTGTTTGCTAGGGAAGACTGGGGGACAATGCCATTGTATCCTGCGAAGGCAAGGTACAAGTTGGCGCCTCCCTGCTCCCTCTTATCTGCTGGCAAGGCCAGGAAGATAAGAGCAAAGGAGTTTCCTGCTGAGATCCCAGAGCCAGAAGCTGCCACTCCAAGGAGAGCTGGCTCAACCACTTTGGATTTGAGCTGTCACTGCAAAGACAGCTGACTCAACCACTTTGAAAGCATTGAAAAGGGGCCATCATCGCCATGGTCGTGCGTCGCCCTCGTGGTCAACAGAACAACTCTGCCCGACGACCCACCGCTACTGAGGATCAAAGATGGAACTACGAACCTCGCTGGATCCATGGTGGTGACTATGTCCCTCTTGCTGCCTATAAAGACTCCTTGCTTCTTCTCTTCTATCTTTTCTATCGCCCTCCTTCCCTTCCCCATTGCCCTAATCATAATAGTGTCCGTCCTCCCCTTCCCCATTGCCCTGATTAAGATTTGTAATAAACTGGTCGGACCAACATTGGAACCGTTGCTTCTTCATCTCACGCCGGGTATATAGATTACAAAAGAACCTCCTCTCCCTCCTAGAAATTGGAGCGAGACATATTGGCACCTACCTTCCTACCTCCACTTGTGCGACTGGCATTTCTAAACAGCTCCTGTTCAAACTGAGCATTTTCCTGTGGAAAGTTAGAAGAAATACAAGCATGCACCGTAGCTGACAAAGTCCCAGCAGATGCTAGAAGAGATCACTCCAAACACTACTTGGTGATGTGAGATTTCATTTGTGAGCTGAGCCAGCAAAGCAAGGACTTTCCTGACAACAAAGGCTGTTGCATCTCCATTTGTAAACCACATATTCAGAATGGTAATTCTGTGCTTGTCTGAGTGTGATCTCACTAATTCTGTTTATCAAAAATGTAATTAACTTCTATCCTGAAAAAGTCAGCGTCATGCTGAGGAGAAAAGAGTCAGTATGCCTTTAGAGACAAAAATGGCCTATTGTTGTTTATCTGGTAAAAATCAAATCACCTGAAAGAGTTGATAAAAATGATATACTTGAGAAGTTTGGATAATACATTCCATCTTTGTAAGTCAAATAAAGATTATGGTCAATCTAATGAGTGAAGAGTTTGGGAATTTATAATTTATAAATGACAAATTCTGATGGTACAGCAGCAAGCCAGCCCAGTCTACGAGCTACTGAATGCTTCCTGGAGAAATTGCCTATTTCCTATTCTCATTTTTCATGAAATTCATCGTGTTCTGCAGTGGCCAAAAAGATTGGAAATACTCTTCACTGAACTAGCTTTCACTGTAGGTATGTTAGGTGCTTCACCATCCTGTTTTACAATCTGGCCACGAGCAACTAACTTCCATAGACACAGAACTGTTCAAGAAAAAGAATGGATTGCCCTAAAAGGGATATTCCAGAAACAGCTGAATCTGAAAAATGCCATCCCTTTCTCTTGTCCCAGGAAAAGTCTGATTCAAAGTGTAGTTGGCTAAATGGGAAACTGACTTCTGCCACAAGATAATTTCAAACTCTCAGGCTTTCTCGTTGTAATAAAACAGCGTTTTCTTGGACATCCAATGCATACGTGAGCAGCTTGCTCTTCAAGCACGTGCCTTCCTTGACCTGCCGTAAGCAGGCTAGGAGGGAAAAGTGGTAAAATAATGATTAAAAGCTTTGAGAAATACATGCCATAAAATGCACGGGAACAATAAACTCCTAAACAACATTAACAACCAAAAAGCCATTATCTCCTCAAGCACTAATATTGTCCTAAACAACTTAAAAGTAGTAGTAACAACATACTCAAGAAAGGCAAAATCACACTTAGGTGGATTAGGCACTAATACCACCTTCTTGCACAGGATGCAAGCATATAGCAGTCCCTGAAAATACCAGTCTCTGTAACAATATTCTTGGAAACTGACAGAAAGTTAAAACGGCCCTTGTGGAATCGCCCAACTGCATGTTGGCATCAAAAGAGCTTGGCCAGCACATCGACGGAGGTGATCCTCCCCCTCTACTCTGCACTGGTGAGGCCACATTTACACTGCTGTGCCCAGTTCTGGGCACCTCAATTAAGTTAAGTTAAAAGACAGGGACCTCCTAGAAGGAGTCCAGCAGAGGACGGCCACAAGGATGACTGGGAGCCTCCCATGTGAGGAAAGGCTGAGTAACCGCACTCCGTTCAGCCTGGGGAAAAGGACACTGAGAGGGGATCTGGTAAATATTTATAGCTATCTAAAGGAAGGTGGGAGGCAAATGGGTGAGACCAGGCTCTTTTTGATGGTGTGTAACAAGAGCACAGGGAGTAACGGCCTAAAACTTTCTGGCATTTATTTTGGCATTTATTGAATTTTAATAAATGATACAATTTTTTTTAGCACTTCCCTTCCCTCCCATCCCCTGCCTTCCCATTCCCTTCCCTTCCCTCTTCGCTTCGCTTCGCTTCTCTCTTCACTTCGCTTCTTTCTTTGCTTCGCTTCGCTTCTCTCTTTGCTTCGCTTCGCTTCTCACTTTGCTTCGCTCGTTTCTCTCTTCACTTCGCTTCTTTCTTTGCTTTGCTTCGCTTCTCTTCGTTTCGCCTCGCCCTGCCTCGCCTCGCCCTCTGCTCTCCTCCTCCTCCTCCTCCTCCGCCTCCTCCTCCGCCTCCTCCTCCTCCTCCACCTCCTCCTCCTCCTCCTCCTCCTCCTCCTCCTCCTCCTCCTCCTCCTCCTCCACCTCATTCTCTTCCTCCTCCTCCTCCTCCTTCTCCTCCTTCTCCTCCTCCTCCTCCTCCTCCTCCTGCTCTCTTACTCTTCCTCTTTGTCTTTCTCTTTGTTCTTCTACCGGCTCCAGCATTGAAGGCAAAACTCTCTTATTCTTTTCCACGTCTCACTAGAAAAAGGAGAGTCTCCAGTTGTGACTTGTGACCTCAAACAGACTCAAAGCTGCCTCCTCCCTGGATTCCTCTGGCAGAGGCCAGCTACAGCTGTGACCTCAGGCACAGCAAAGGCAGGAGTGCCAGTACCTGTCTGTTGGCCCAAGCGGCCGGGAGAAGTTGCTCATCACGGCCTCTGTGTGACAGCGGGTGAGGATGACCACCGCCTGGCACAGGAAGGGCAGGAACGTGCTCTGCTGCGCAAACGATGTGATGCTGCGCAGGATGTAGAGGATCGGTGGCACCTGAAAGAAGAAGGGGAGGAAGAATGACTTGCTGTATCCTGGACCTGGCCTGCATCCTGCAGGGCCTAACCACGTGCAACAGCCAGAAAAAGTCCAAGACACGTGGGAGAAAGTCTCTTACGTTCCAACTGATGTCCTTCCCGTGCATCTGCAGGAAGGTGGTCATCCACTTCCCACACGCACGCACGCGCACTCCGCTGGCTTTCCGGATGGTCTCCTTGATGGCCGCCATGAAGTCAACGGTGCGTTCGATGGGGAAGTTTCTGCACACAATCTGCCGAGAAACGAGAAGCGGGAGAGATCCCATCACTGCTCTGCTGCAGCTCTTCCAAACACAAAGCAGTCTTGAGGGCATTCTTAGCTCAGCGGCTTGCCGCTCATTCAGGCGGCAATCACAGCGCTCCTGCTGTCTGTACCCTGCTGTTGATACGGAAGGCGGTTGAGCCTTCTCTCAGCTTCTGCACCCATGGTGTTTGCTTACATGCAAAGCCTACCTCCCAGCAGCCACAGTCACACATGCACACAAACACACACACACAAACGCACGTCATGGCATCAGCTCCTTGCACTGGGTGCCTGAAGGCCAGACATAGCTCAGAGCCTCCTGCTACTTGCTGAGAAAAGCGGTCTCAGGGTGACAGCTCATCTTGGAAATGGTGTGAGAGGCTGTGGGCAGCATAGGGCCATGCAGAATTCCACGGACAGAGATCCCACCACCCCTTTTTGGGTCCACTTACTCTTGCCATTTTGGACGTGATCTGGAGCTGAGAGGCGATGCTGCAGGCATGCAGCCCCTCGCACAGGCCCTTGATGTCACCTGTCTCAATGACTGTGTGGACTGCTTTGGCTGGAAAGAGCACAGGGAGAAAAGGGAAGTCATGCTTCTGGAAATAGGACCGCTTTCCACGGTGGAGAGACAGAGGACAGGATGGGGACAAGAGGAGAACTGTGCACGGTGCCTCTCCCTCCTGTCAAGAGGGCCCAGCCCGTGGGGCTCTGCGAGTGCTAGGGAGGAGGGCAGAGGGCTGGAGCACGCCTGCTCTACTCACCTTGGATTCGCAGAAGGGAGGTCAGACAGGTGACGGCCAGCTGGCGGGATGCGGGCATGGGGTCACACGTCAGAGGCGCCAGCAATCCCACCAAGGAGCCAAAGTGCTCACAGGCATCTCCTCTCTGCAGGGGTGAGAGGCAGGAACAAAGCTGTAGACGGCCCCAGCTCTCCCCAGCTTCTCCCATCTGTGCCTTCCCCACGCCGTGACACAGCACGCACAGCTGGGCGGAGCTCACCTTCCAGCTCAGGGGCACCGGGGAGGGAGCAGGGGGCATGCGGTGGGGCTCTTTACTCACTTGAAGCTCTTCACAAGCAGCCAGCAGCTGGGAGCAGGTCTGCAAGGCCCTCTTGCGCTCCCACACATTGGTTGATGTCATAGATTTCTGCAGGACCTGGGGTAGAGCATCTGTCTCACTGAGGACGTCTTTTCCTTCCCTTCCTGCCACCCCTCTCCCTGTCCCTCCTTTCCCAGCACTTTCCCTCAAGGCCTCCCGCCTCACTGAGCACCGGCACTGCTGCTCCCGCAGCACATACTCACGTGGACTATGTTCTGAAAGAAGCCACCGCTGGGCTCTGTCTCCAGCAGGACCACCATGAGCCGGCCCAGAGCTTTCAGTGCTGTTTGCTGAAGCTGAAAGCAGAAGAGGGGAGTGACGTGTAGCATCACGGCTGCTGCCAGAGCAGAGGGTGTGTGTGCTGAGGTAGGGCTCCGACCGAGAGGGGGCCGGGAAAGTTACGGCAGGTTACCTGCAGGTACTGTGCTGCGTGCTGTGACTTCCTGATCTTCAGCATCATCTCTGCTGAAGGATGTGTCACGACGTTCTTGCAGCACAGGACCAGCATCTCACGCATGTCCTTGCTTTCAAAAGAGGGCTTCAGCTTGCTGAGAGGAGGAAAAAAGGAAGAGAAATCAGAAAGGGCCTCTACCAGTGCTCTCCAGGCTGGTTCAGGCAACCTCTGAATTTCTCCTAATCAACAGCTACAAAGCCAATATCCCCAGCTCATGCTGCTGAGCACTGTCTTCAGTTCCAGCAGCGCCCACCTCCTCCCCAGCAGCAATGAACCACCTCCCGCTCTGGAGGGTGGGAGACCCCAGCTCTCCCTTCTCTTCCCTGCCAGGGGACAGAAGCACCAGCGCCTTTCTCCCTGCCCCAAACCTCAACTTCGCTGGGCACAACAGCCCAGCCGTCTCTCCTGTAGATGTGGCTCCTCCCTCCCTGCCCCCTCCAGGCCCTCAGGAGCTACCCAAAATGGGGACCACTATCCTGACTTGCAACCTCAGTCCTTACCTCAACTGCTCCAGGGCCAGAACCACCTTCAGAGGCACTGGGGAGACAGGCATGCCCGAGTAGTACTTCTTCATCAGGTCCTGCAAGTCCCAGAGAGACAGTGTCAAAGTGGGCAAGGGGCACACAAGAGCTGTTCCACCCGGCCCCGAGACAGGCACAACTGCCACACACCAGCCCCATCACTCTCCCATGGAAGCACTGCAGGATGCAGCAGCTTGACAGCTGGTGCACCTAGCCCGCTGCCCAGCCGCTGCCTGCCAGCACCCAAGGTCCCCACCAGCTGGAGACGTGTGGCTGCTGGACACCTGTATGCCCCCAGGGAAGCGAGCCTTGTGGCGCAGCCCAGAACTCCTCTGCAGACAGCCCTGTCTCTAGGCACTCACCATCAGGATCTCCAGCAGCTTGCTCTTCAAGGAGCGGTTAAAGCTTGCAGAATCACCCACAGCTTGGAAGGCAGAGCTGCTGTCGGTGATGCTCTGCACCAGCGCGAGGTTGTTCTGCAAGTCCTGAGGAGCAAGAGAGAAGAACATTCTTTGAACTGCGGGAAGGGACAAGGGCTGCCACGGGGACACGTGGAGACAACACTAAGGGAACGGCTTGGATCTTCATGTGGACACACCCCCTTCCCCGAGGGACCTTGGCAAAGGGAAGGCCCATCTCAGCATCCCTCCACGTGGAGGGGCGGCAGCTGGGCGCTCAGACACCCTGGCATGCTTTGAGCTCTCACCCGGCAGCTGCAGCTGTAGAGCATCAGGATGTTGCCCACGATGTCTCCCTCCAGGTGGGCGAGCAGCTGTTCCTTGGAGGCACGCAGTGCCACGCTGCCGTGGGCGAGCATGAGAGCACTGCGTGTGGCATGAGCTCTCGTGCTGTCCAGCTCCATCTGTGTGGGAAGAAATGCCTTGAGACACTCGCTAACGGCCCCCAGTGCCCCGCCATGCACCTGGGCTCCCAAGGCAGGAGCTGCAGGGAAAATAAGGCCGAAGAATGCCAAGATGGAAACCCGTAACGCTTTACCTTCTTGCTCCTGGAAATCCTGGCATTGCGGCCTTTGCACAGCCTGGACGCAAACGTGGTGAGCGTGGCCAGGACTGTGTGGAAGTTACTCTCAGCAGCGTGGCTGAGAAGAGCGATGATTCCCTGCACAAAAGAACAAGGGGCCGTTGGCACAGCCCTGAATCTACAGGTCCTCTTCTGAGCAAAATGGCAGCAGTGAAGAGGTTGAAAAGGCCCGCAGCAGGGCCAGGAGAAACCCTCTGCCCCAGGGCCAGAGCAGGGATGCTCGCAGGAGCTGGAGGAGAGGAGAGCTCACCTGGGCCTCACACGGTTCCTCCGCATTTGCCTCCGCCAGGTGCTGCAGCAGCTTCTCCTGGACGTGGAGGACTCCCTTGCAGGATGCCAGCACTGTGCCCAGAGCCTTGTACAGGAACGACTGCATGGGAAGGGAAGGAAGAAGCTGAGATGTGGCAGCAGCTTAACCTGCTGGCGGAGGGCCAGGTGGGGAGGACCCACGCACCCTGGGAGTCTCTGAGAGCAGCTGCGGGGCCGAGCTTTAGCCGTCCCCGGGCAGATTGCAGGGAAAGGCCCTCTGGGGGGCACAGACTGGGAGGGAAGCAGCATCAGCATCCCGCGTGGGCAGAGCACCAGCTGCAGCCCCAGCCCCAGCTGGACACCTGCAGCTGCACCGCTGGGTAGAGCCAGGGGAAACTCACCTTTTCTGCAGAGCTGCTGGCAGAGCTGCTCAGTCGCCGGCTCAGCTCACTGCTCAGGGCCTCGGCCCACGCCTCATCATCTACGGTGTCCACTGACGCCCTCAGGAACTGTTGGAGAGCAGGAGAAGACAATGTTCCCTTGCCCTTTGCCTCTTCCCTCACTCCCAAGTTGCTGCAGCCCTCTGGGGAGAGGTGCCTGGAAGAACAGTGCCTCTCCCAGCTCCCCCAGCGTTCCGTTCCCTCCATTAAAGCCAGCTGCCCTCTTCTCCTAAGACCCCCCGGGGCTTGGGACAGAGCGGAAGAGGCAGCGCCACAAAGGCGTGCGGCCGCTCCGCAGCAGCGCTTGAGAGGCTGCTCCTGTCCCACAGTGGCTCATGTGGGAGCGGGGCTACTTGGGCCAGGCAAGCACTTCTCTGCACCGCGCCTCCCGGCAATGCTGTACCTTTAGCAGACGGCGCTCAAACTCGGCAGTGCCCGGGAAGCTCTCGTTTCTCCCTGCACAGCAATAGGAAGAAAAAGACCCTTACTTGGGATCAAGGCACAGAAGAAGAGCTGCTGCAAACCTGGCTTGGCCTGGGCACTTGACACAGCCAAGCTGGGACCCGCACCTCCTCCACAGCGACCTGTCCCTCCCCACAAACACTGTCCCCCGCAGGAACACGGAACTAACTGCTCCAAGGCTGCTGTCGGAGGGGATGTGAAGGGTCCATCCCTGTCCTGGAATGGGCAGATCCCCAGGGGCATAGGTCCCTGGGCCTCAGAGCTGACTCGCAGGAATGGAGACAGCGCAGCACTGGGCTGCGGGGCACAGTGCTTCCCCTCTGCCACTGCAGAGCTGCATTTTCACTCAGCCCCCTTCCCAGCCTCCGCCTCTTCCTCCCCACCACTACTTTACCTTCAAGGCACTTGCAGCAGCAGGGGGATCTCAGCAGCCCACATGGCCCCCACAGCTCTGTGGAACCTGCTGTGGAGGTTTTTCATCAGCAGTAAGGCAGCGGCT